GAACAGGTCTAGGTTGGATATGAGGAGAAAGTTCTCCCCCCAGAGGGAGTTTGGGTACTGAAGCAGTTTTGGGTTGGACATTAGGAACAGATTCTTCTCCTAGAGGGTGGTTGGACACTGGAACAGGTTTAGCTTGGACATTAGGAGAAGGTTCTATCCCCAGAGGGAGCTTGGACAGAGTTAGGTTGGATATCAGGAAAAGATTCTATTCCCAGAGGGAGTTTGGGCTCTGGAAAAGATTTAGGTTGCCTACTGGGACAAAGTTCTCCTCCTGGAGATGGTCTCAACTTGGGGATGGTCTTCTCCTGGGGATGGTTCTATCCTGGGCATAATCTCTTCTTGGCAATGGTCTCCTTCTGGGAATAATCTCCTGGGGATGGTCTCTTACTGGGGATGATCTCCTCCAGGGGATGGTTTCCTCCTGGGAATGGTTCTCTCCTGGTGATGGTCCTCTCCTGGGGATGATCTCCTCCTGGGGCTGGTCTTCTCCTGGGGATGGTTCTATCCTGGGCATAATCTCTTCTTGGCAATGGTCTCCTTCTGGGAATAATCTCCAGGGGATGGTCTCTTCCTGGGAATGGTCCTCTCCTAGGGATGATCTCCTCCTGGGGATGATCTCCTCCTGGGAATGGTCTTTTCCTGGGGATGATCTCCTCCTGGGGATGATCTCCTCCAGGGCATGGTCCTCTCCTGGGGATGATCTCCTCCTGGGGATGATCTCCTCCAGGGCATGGTCCTCTCCTGGGGATGGTTGTCAATGGTCTCCTCCTGGGAATAATCTCCAGGGGATGGTCTCTTCCTGGGAATGGTCCTCTCCTAGGGATGATCTCCTCCTGGGGATGATCTCCTCCTGGGGATGGTTCTATCCTGGGCATAATCTCTTGTTGTCAATGGTCTCCTCCTGGGAATAATCTCCAGGGGATGGTCTCTTCCTGGGAATGGTCCTCTCCTAGGGATGATCTCCTCCTGGGGATGATCTCCTCCTGGGGATGGTTCTATCCTGGGCATAATCTCTTGTTGTCAATGGTCTCCTCCTGGGAATAATCTCCAGGGGATGGTCTCTTCCTGGGAATGGTCCTCTCCTAGGGATGATCTCCTCCTGGGGATGATCTCCTCCTGGGGATGGTTCTATCCTGGGCATAATCTCTTGTTGTCAATGGTCTCCTCCTGGGAATAATCTCCAGGGGATGGTCTCTTCCTGGGAATGGTCCTCTCCTAGGGATGATCTCCTCCTGGGGATGATCTCCTCCTGGGGATGGTTCTATCCTGGGCATAATCTCTTGTTGTCAATGGTCTCCTCCTGGGAATAATCTCCAGGGGATGGTCTCTTCCTGGGAATGGTCCTCTCCTAGGGATGATCTCCTCCTGGGGATGATCTCCTCCAGGGGATGGTCTCTTCCAAGAATGGTCCTCTCCTGGGGTTGATCTCCTCCTGGGGTTGATCTCCTCCAGGGGATGATCTCCTCCAGGGGATGGTCTCCTCCAGGGGATGGTCCTCTCCTGGTGATGATCTCCTCCTGGGGATGATCTCCTCCTGGGGATGGTCTCCTTCAGGGGATCATTTCCTCCTGGGGCTGGTCTCCTCCTGGCCCTGGCCCCAAGTGGAGTGACCCCCCTGCCCTTCCCCCCACAGTTGGCTGCCAAGGAAGCAAAGCTGCATGACCTGGAGGACATCCTGGCCAGGGAACGTGAGGGCAACCGGCGCCTCCTGTCCGACAAGGACCGCGAGATGGCCGAGATGAGAGCAAGGATGCAGCAGCAGCTGGATGAATACCAGGAGCTGCTGGATATCAAGTTAGCCCTGGACATGGAGATCAATGCCTACCGCAAGCTGCTGGAGGGAGAGGAGGAGAGGTGAGCACAGGGAGCTGCTGTCACCTCTGAGCTAGGTGGATCCCAACCATCACATCCTCATGGATGTGTGTTCTCTTCTCCCCTGCCAGGCTGAGGCTGTCCCCCAGCCCTTCCTCACACAAAGGAGCCTCCAGGAGCCACATGTCCAGCTCAAGCTCCTCCAAGAAGAGGAAGCTGGAGGACAGTGAGAGCAGGACCAGCTTCTCCCACCACGCCAGGACCAGCGGCCGCGTCGGCGTGGAGGAGGTGGACCTGGAGGGCAGGTTTGTCCGCCTCAGGAACAAGTCCAACGAGGTCAGTTTGCCTCCAGGAGGGTCCCTGGGGGGAAGTTCAGCCCATGGGCAGGAGGTGAATGGGACAAACTTGTGGTGGAGCTGGTTCTGAGGGTCTCTGCTCTCCCTCAGGACCAGGCCATGGGCAACTGGCAGATCAAGAGGCAGAATGGGGATGATCCTCCCATCACCTATCGCTTCCCCCCGAAGTTCACCCTCAAGGCTGGTCAGGTGGTCACGGTGAGTCACTGCCCAGTGGACCCAGTTGAGGTCCCACACCCCTCCAGACTGCTGGTGGCACATAGCACTTGGCAGACCTGTGTCCTTGAGCTCTGCAGACCAGAGAGGTCACTTTTCTCCTGCTTCTCCCCTTAGATCTGGGCCTCAGGAGCTGGAGCAACCCACAGCCCTCCCAGCAACTTGGTGTGGAAGGCCCAGAGCACCTGGGGCTCTGGGGACAGCCTGAGGACAGCCCTCATCAACTCCAACGGGGAGGTGAGACCTACTGGAGCTCTGCTGTGGGCATGGGGGGGTGGTCAGCAGGCACTGAACCCCTCAACTCCCTCCCTGTCCCCCACAGGAGGTGGCCATGAGGAAGTTGGTGCGTACTGTGGTCATCAATGATGATGATGATGAGGATGATGATGAGTTGAGCATCCACCATCGCCATCACCATGTGAGTAGGGCACTGGGGATGCTGCTGGTGTTCCCAGGAGGTCCAGGGGAGTGTGGGGCTGGACCTAGTCAGGGTTGGAGGCAGCTCAGCATCACACAGGATCAGGCACAGGATCAGGGAGGATCACACAGGATCAGGGAGAAGCAGCAGATGAGGGTGATGATGACATGAGCATCCACCACCACCATCACCATGTAAATAGGGCACTGGGCCCCAGGGAGGTTGTGGATGCTCCAG